ATTAAACCACTTTAAGTTCTAAGTGGCCGACATCCTGGGAAATGAGGTTCTTATAAACAACAATAATCTTTTAACAAGAGCTTAAAAAAGGAAAAAATTGGACTCTTTCCTATTTATAGAACATATTTTACCGAAGGTGAGTGATTTTTTATATTGTAAAGGTGCCTGTAGCTAGCCTAATTTTGTTTTAACTATTAACGTAGACATTAATATAAACAAAAATTTAAGGATTTTAAAACAAAACCGTTCATAAAGATAATTTAAACATACACATTCCTAAGATTTGAGCATTAAGTTGATTTTTATTTATCTTTACTATGTTAATGTTGATGCCTATGTTATTCTGTATAAACAGGTACATTGAAATAAATTGATAACTTTTATGTTGAAACTAAATCAGGCTGACTAAACTCACCTTTAGACAATTAAAACACTGGTCTATGTATTACTACTAAAACCTTTCCCTTTATGTACTGTGGTTTTAATTACATTGTTTTATGAAATTATTTTGCATTATATACCTTGATATTATATGTTTTGAATTTTTGTTGGTTACTGAGACCTATTATAGTTATAGTATTTCATAAACCATATCTGTGAGCCGTTTTATTTATTTAAAAAAGTATAGTGTATAAAATTATTAATCTGTTTTAGAGAATTACCAAATAGCTAGCCAAAAAGCAACAAAGGTTCTTATGACATAGGATATAACAAGTGATGATGAGTTACAACCTCTTCCTTGTAAAAGAAAGCCATTAAGAAGAATATTTTCAAGTGAAGATGATGAATTCGTTATTGATGACGAACCTATTGGTAGGTAAGCACTGCTTTGTCTAGCAAAACTTATTTTTTATTATGAGTAAAATTCATACTTTTGTGACAATGTTATAAGTACATTTCTTTTATTCCGAACAACATTTTTTTCTTCAAATGTCAATAATTATTTTTCACAATTATTAAAAATCTCACCTTTACATTCAAAAGAGCTTGGGGGTAAAATAATTTTTCCTGTTATTAATATATACCTTGTAAAAATAATAACATTTCTTCATTTCATTAATTATAAAAAAGTCAGGTTAACCTGGTTTAAAATTCACAATTTTACATCACTTTAAAACTTAGCATCATAAAATTATTATTAAAATATTAGGTTTTTGACCCATGAAGAAATACTAAATTCTGTGTTAGCTAGAAGCATCTAGTACTCTTTAGCCAGGCGCATATTAAATTTTTTCATTGATTTCTCTTGACAGATCTGATTTTATTTATCTTATTAAATTTGTGAACCATCAAATATATCACTTTTGTGACAGCTTAACGATATAAAAAAATTTCTGTCTTTCTCGGTCAATGTTAACTCTATTTTTTGGCTCCAATTTTATTTAAATAATTAAGTTTCTGGTAGTTATAACTATTATATTTTTGTTTTAGTGAAACGAAAATTTAATAAGGATACCATTGAAGCTGCTTCAAGCCTGTATATTCGGAATGATTTGTTGAATATCTGGACACTGCTATATAATCTTATGTAATTTATACATTCTAAGTACATATTCTAAGAAGTAATGTTTATTTAGTAATAGTTCAGGTTAGTATACTATGTTTCAATTCAGAAATTTTATGCAGTAACCTATCTTTTTTTATATAAAACATATTTTTATTAAACATTTTTTAAATAAAACGTTTTTTATAAACATTTTTTTACAAATTAAACATTTTTAAATGGATATTATGGTGTTTTTTTGACGTCTAAACACGTTATCTGGTGACGTGTTTATCACGTCACTGTATGACGTCTTTGATCTGTGACATATTGCCGTCATAATCACGTCACTAGCACGTCATAAATTGGTGATTTCGACGTAAAATGTGCCGTGTATTTCACGTGAAAATCACGTGTCTGTGCTAGCTCAAAAATGGCTGAAAGTGCATATTTGAATATAACTTTTAATTCAAACTAACTTTACTTCATAACATTCTTCTGTATTGTAAAACATAAAGGTACTTTACTCTTGAGTAAAATTCATATTTTTTGGCAAACCTTATATACAGCATAAAAAAATTGATATCTGATGGTTACATTCTAAGTTTTGGACCATGCAGAACTTTTTATCAGGAATACATTTTTTCACAAAACCAATAATAAAAAAGTTTTCCATTTGGTTCCAACTTAAGTAGACACACTATATGACAAATACAAAAAAAAAAACGTCGGAAATATTTGGAGGATAAAGAAAAGTAATTTAAACGTATTTGTTAGGTATATCAATAATTTTATTGCACAAATTCATAACCGAAACCAAAAATGTATTATAAAAATATTGCACACAAATATAATAACCCAAATTCATCATAAAAATCACAAAATATCTGCTATTAACGACGACCCACGTCCTCAAAATTCAGGACCCCATAAAGCATGACCTGAAAAGAGAACAAAAATTAATATTTACACCTCAAATGTATCATCAAAATACAGCACATACATATATAATAACTCAATTCCATTATAAAAACACAACATACCTGCTATTGTTCACAAAAATCCAAAAATGCCACAGGTACCTCCATAAAACGCCTATAGCCGCCATTGAACATTGAAACGGTACTAAAAATAATACACCAGATATACCTACCTAAAAAACATGCGTATTTCAAGAACCTTTTGGTCAACAGCATTTATGTATATATACGCTATGTAACATTTTGTACGAAATAATTTAGTACAAATTGTTACTTTAATGTAGATTACACATAGATATATAAATTGATATAATATTTATGTGAGGAAATTTATATAACGGATATGTAATTTTGTAACATATATTTTAATTATATACATGGTATATAACTATGGTGCTAAGTTTGAACTTAGGTGTTCGGTTCCATAAATAACACATAAAAGTGCATACAAGACAGTCTAAGTATATTTTATCCTTCTTAGTTATGTAACAGGAGGGAACATGTAACAGAATGGTTTGCTGGGAAAGGGGTGCATAGTACGCGCGCGAGCACAGTTGACGGCGGTTTGGTGATTTTTTTGTTTTTACTGTTCGCATTTAAGTTTCAAGTGCAGTCAAGTACCCAGACAGGACACCAAATCCTTTGAATATCTACTGAACATCCCAATATCCACTGAATGTCCAGTCCATGGTGGATATCTATTTTATATCCAGGAAATGTAATTTATAGACATGCAAATGTCCATAAATAATACTAATTATATAGCAAATTATTAAAAAATTACGCCTTTGTGCTCGCCATTGTGGCTAATAGTACCGTTCAGATATTTAAAATTAATTTTTTTAAGGTATATTCAATATCCCATGGACATCCACTAACTATATCAAAGTCTACGCGCGAACGCAAACCATCGTGGATATCCACTAGATGTTATTTGATTTTGCTTACTAAGTATAGATGGCGATACCACTTTCGCATCTACTCTTGCTCGACCCGCCGTAATTGAGTTCGATCGAAATTTGTGTCCTAATCAGACTCTATTAGAGACTGGAGTCGAGAATTTCCATTTATTGCTGAAGAGTCCTAATAAAGATGACTTTCACCTTAGTGGGCAAAATCAAAGGCAGAGAGTTGAAAATATTTTGAGTGTTGAAAATATTTTTTATCTCTGCTATTTTCTTTTGACGTTATTCAATAATCATTGGTTACTTTATGAACCTATACTAAAGATAAAATATTTTGCTGAATATCCGAATATCTTCTATATCCTGCGATATAGACGGACATTTGGTTGGATATCCATATTGGATATCCACAGAATATATATATTCTGTGGATATGATTTCTTGTATTGTCTGGAAGATACTCATTAGATCTTTTGCTGGATATCCATATGATATCTTCTATATTCTGGATATAGACGGACATTTGGATATCCATATTAGATCCACGGAATATTTTTGATATCCTGTGAATATATTGGATATCCACAAAAAATATTCTGTGGATATCTCTGGGATTTGGTGTGTTGTCTGGGTACGAGCAAGGCGCAGTGCAATATGGAGTGGACTGAAGAAAACATTTTGAAGCTAATATATTGGCCTTTACGAAACTTATCCTGTTTTGTGGGATCCACAACATAAATTTTATAAGTTAAATAATAAAAATATTGGTGGTATTCTTTCTTTGGGTATGTGGACCAACTAAATTAATTAGTCTTTCAAAATTGGTACTGCTCATGCGATAAAAGTTTTTAAAAAACATCCCATCTGTTTGCAAATCATGGAAAAGATACTTCCACTGTATTTGGATCTACTTTTAAAAATATTTGACATTAAACACCGTCTTTTCGTCACTTTTTTCCTGTTCTCTCCGTTTGATAATAATAATTAACGTACTGGCAGCCCGTTAAAAATAATTGATCATCGATGTCGGAACCGCAAGAGCGCAAACACAAAACTACAATCTGGACACTCTGGTTCGCGGATAAAACGATCTTGACAAACAGAAGAAACACAAAAAGCAACGTTCCGGAAACAGCATAAGCGCGATCACGAGCACGAGCGTAAGCACGAACAGGAGCAATGTGGACCCACCTTTACACAGCATCGTTGTCGTCGTCGTCATATTTCTTTCAATCACATTATAAAGTTTTGGACCATGCAGAACTTTTTATAAATAATGACTTTTTTTCATAAAACTAAGCATAAAAAAGCTTCCCATATATGGTTCCGACTTAATTGGACACACTGTATAAATTGTTCTTATTGAAAGCAATTTTATTATAATATACTAAAAATGTAATATTTGTTTTATTGTATTTAGATTTTGAAAGCAAAAGGCATTTATATATGAATTTTGTACATATTATTCAGAATTGGGTACATTTTAGCAAATTTGTTTGGTACATCAATAGGTATATTTGGTTGCGGCAACACTGCCAGCCGCCCAGCCGGTGATCAGCTGAGTTTGACCATAGACATCATGAGTTTGACATTGACATTGGACGAAATTTGACACAACTTCAAAACACAAATTGTACTAGATGTACACACAAATGTTTTGCATTGCATAATATTACAACGTATTATTATGTTTAGCGTAATGGATATGATTCACTGGTAACGGATAATACGTAATAGGTGAGGTAAAACGCAAAACATTTTTGACTGTTTCAGTGTTTGATTACTTTGCAAAGCGCTAGTGTAATGGTTTACAAAACTGTAATAGATGTATTTCAAAAAACGTAATAACATTGACAACAGTGTTTCTCCTATTCCCCATATCAGCCCATATGGTTCTTCTTTGTGAATGAATTTATTCCTTGTTTGCGCAACACGTATGATAAGGAAAGGACTAGAGACAAAAAAGAATCCCGTGGACCGTGCGCGTAAAATACTATCGGCATCCCGTAAAACAATGAAACCAGGAAAAGGTTTCTCCTACACAAAGAAAAAATTTCAGTTGATAAATATTGTTATAGCCACCTTGTAAACGTCTGAATGGGCGTAGTTTTCGTGTAAAAAAGTTACGTTTTTGTGTAAAAACAATAAGGTTTTTATTCGCCAGTTTTTTCGCAACATGTCCGGGCCAAATAGCTCTGCGAGATTGCCCAAATCGTCGCCGAATTTAGTGAAACAAGGACCGCTCAAAGCGACGATTCCTATTTGTTCCGTCATGAAGCCCAATAGTAATTTCAAATCTAGCGGTAATAATGTGTCTCCGACGTATTTGTGGAAAAACAGATCTCCAGACCATATTTCTGGACAGAGGAGCCCAGGATCTGCTGGATATAAAGGTATTCAAATATTGGCAGAATAAATACTTATTTTGCAGTCTTAAGGGGACCACATATTGGTATTAAGTATATTCTAATTTAATTAAATACTTTTTAAATGGAAACAACCACTACAGATATTAAATTCTTGTATTAAATATAAATATAAGTCAACATAAGTTTTATTTGCATTGTTATTATTTTTGAATAGTTATAAATAAGAAAAAAATGTTTGAAAATACCTCAGAAAAAAAGAATTATCAATGAACATACATAAAAAATGAAGAGTGAGGATTTTATGGGCCCAATTATTAGATTTTAACCAAATTTTTATGGGACCACCCCTGAAGTACCCCCTTTCTAACAAAAAAAGAATCATTGAAATTGAACACCCTGTTAAAGAATTATCACTGAACATAAAAAAAAATTATTCCAACGAATTGAGAACCTCCTTTTTCGAAATCGGTTAAAAATAAAGTATTTGGGGGTTATTTTAGAACATGAAGTGGCATGAACACATAAATTATATTTCTAATAAAATTCGCAAACTAATTTACATATTTTATTCTTTCAAATAGGTTTTAAATAAAAAAAAAAATTAGTCATAATAATTATATAAATCATTGAATCATTTTGGGGAGGTTCATATGATACCTCATTTTACAAATTAAATATAAAACAGAAAAAAATACTAAAAATCATCTATAATAAGAATAAAATGTATCGAACCGAACTGCTGTTTAATGATACTTGCAATATCAGAAACCATGTACATGTTATAAATATGCAGTTACATACATACTCGAATTTTCCTACAAAACATTGTAAATCATCAATATCACACAAGAAATAAGGTAAATAAAAAAAATTAGTATTCCAGTGAGTCACAGAAACATTAACTTAATTTTTTTTAATTATTTAGCACCATAAATTTATAATATGCTACCAGTAGGAATGCCACTTGTACATTTTTCACCCAGACTGTCCGGGAATGTCTAGATAACTTTATAATTTTATTTATAATACATCTGACCCATTGAACACTGAAATAAACTATGAGCACAGCATTGTTATTTAATACCTACCTAATATGTATAAATTAACGATTTTAAGTAAATTTAATATAGGTAATCTCTTTAGAAAAAAATATTGTGAGATGGACCCATTATTTTTGTTTTTTGTTTTATTATTATAAATTTTATTTTTTATTATCCGCTTTAAAAAGTTTAAAGTAACTAGGAGTTTAAAAAGATGAGGAATGATGCCTGTTTTTTATTGTTTGTTTAATTTAAATAACATACCTAGTTATAGGTAAATTAAGAATGAATGTTGCTCTGTTATTTTTTAAAAATGTAAAATAAAATTTGGGTATGTAAAAAAATTTAAATAGTAGGTAGGTACCCATTTTTAATTTTTTCTAAAACTGCAATGATCTACAACCTATAACTAAGCGCATCTGTGTTTTATTTTAAAAAATAAATTATAATAAAGTATAGGTATGTACCTATATGTTATATATATATCCCCCTTCTTGAATCGATCATGTCTGTGTTTTAGGAAATGAAAAGGTGGCAACCCTAGCTACTAGGCAAAATAAAAAGAATATCAAAAAACAATTTAAAAGAATATAATACATATATTTTTAACAACTATAACTTGTTTAAAGAATTATATAAATAAAGTAAAGAACGTTAGTCTTCTTTATATAGAAATAATTCAAAACATTGTAATAGGGCTTTAAGAGTCTTGAGATAGTTTTAAAATTACATATAAATGTACAAATTGTAATGATACACATACAGATGCATCTAGCATTTAGGTGTCTCCAAGAAAATCTATATAACTTAAGATAATATTAATTAGTTGTAATATAATTATGTAACTATTTTTTGTATTTTATAAATAAATAAATAAGCAAGTAAGCATAAGTTGGCTTATTTTCAACCCCAGAAGCTGTGGTTAAGTTTACTGTGCATCTTTTTGTTAAACCCTGTATTATGAGAAAAAGAAAATGTAGTAGTACTCTCATCAACATTTCTTTGAATTAAAATTATTGATTCTAATACATTTCTAGATTTCTTTTATTGATATTTGATATTTTAAATGTAAATTCTGTTCTCAAAAATTGTCAAAGAAAGTTATTTTGCCCAGTCCTATGGTTCATATAGGAAAGGATACAAATTATAATTATAAATAATTTGAGAAATAATTAGATCTGTTATATTCTTAAAATGTGTTATTACCATAAATATTCCACTTTTTTTTTTAAATTACTTAATCTCGAATTCAATTCACATTAATTTGATATCTGAAAATAATTTGTCTGAAATCTTATTGCTGTTTTATTATTAGAAACATTGATAGTTTTCTCTTGCCAAGTATTTCTATAACTCAAGTTGGGTAATTATTTTGTATCAACAAACCATTTCAATGTTTGTGTGTATGCTCATAGTATTCAAAAATAGTTTTTGGACTGCAACTGATACTAAAAAAACACGTTCAGTGTTTTTTTTTACTTCTGTATGAGTTATGTTTACTAATTATTTGCAGTGAAATGGAGTATATTCCAAATTTTGATTTTTTTGAATATTATTATTTCAGTAAGTTTTTTCATAAATAACTAATTTACTGCTTTAACTATATTTTGTTTTGGCATTAATACTTTTTACCAAATCCAGTTCTTCTCCGGGGTTCTAGAAAAATCGTTAAAAAATATTGTTCACTTTTTAATGAAAACTGTTGATTTTATAACTGTTTCAAATTAGTTTTGATACGACTTTAATAGGACTTGTTTTTATCTCAAAATACTTTTACAAATGTTTGTTTTTATATAAAACTAGGCAAACTTTTGAAAAAGCGTATAATTAAGCCTATTTACTTCAGACCATTTAAAGTTAAAAAAAATTACTCAACAGGTAAACCAAATTCATCATTAAGGGATGATCCAGGTGGACCCATGAGAAGGACAGCATCAATGGATGCCATTTATTTGAAAGGACATTGGCCAAAAGATGGTTTTCATTGGAATATGGGCACACTCCATGTTAACGAAGCTACACAGGTAGACAATTTAATGTAGTTAAAATTACAGTACACATTACACCTTCACACGATTTTAATATAGTATGTGTCATGTGTAAAGGGTCTAGTTCACAAACCACAGAGGTTCCGGCATATGACAAATTTGTTTTCTTTTTGAATTAACCTTTTCGCTCATAGTGCATTCACTTGAATAAAGTCATCCATTTCGACCGGTGTGACAACAGCCACGAGTTCCAGCCATGAGTTTGACGGCGAGAACCAAAGCGCCAGCGGTAATCAATCCATGGCTGGGCTGTGAATCCACAGCTGGGACGTGAATCCATGGCTGGGCCGTGAATCCATGGCTGGGCCGTGAAGAATTAATTTATTGTACACAAACTGTAATAAATCGTATGTATCTAAATTACAAAACATTATTAACCCTCAAAACAAGCCTTTATATGTATTAAATGCTTAAAAAACTTTGCCGGTTTAAATTGCAAGTAAATTAATTTTTTTACATATAAATTAGCTTGTAATTATGTCTTCCAATTTTACTGGCTTAAAAGGCAAGTAAATTAATTTTTTTATAAACAAATTAGCTTGTATTTATGTCTTCTAGTTAATGTATGTCAGAATATTTTTCGGGGCAAGAAATCACCCTCAAATCCAGCCCTTACATTAAACACTTAAAAAATCTTTGCCTGCTTAAATTGGAATGAAATGAAACTTTTTTTATATAAATTTTATAATATTTATGTGCTCAATCTAATGTATATCTCAAAATATTTTGCTGGGCTGTAAATCCCCCTTAAATCAACCCCTTATATTAAACATTTAAAAAATATTTACTGGCTTAAAATGCAAGATAATAATTTTTTTAAACAAATTAGCTTGTATTTATGTCTTCTATTTGATGTATATGTCAGACTATTTTGCCGGGCAGAAAATCACTCTTAAGTGTTTAATATAAGGGCTGGATTTGAGGGTAAATAATTTTTTGTAATTTAGATACATACGATTTATTACAGTTTGTGTACAATTAATTAATTCTTCACTGCCCTGCCATGGATTTACGGACCAGCCATGGACTCACAGCCCAGCTATGGATTCACAGCCCAGCCATGGATTGATTACCGCTGGCGCTTTGGTTCCCGCCGTCAAACTCATGGCTGGAACTCGTGGCTGTTGTCACACCGGTTCCATTTATTTTGTTCTAAAAATTTATGAGATTTTAGCATATTTATTCAGGAGGTAACTATATAAAGTGCAGTCCATATGTATGGAAAAAATAAATTTTTACCCTTATCATATACTTCTGGGAAAAGACCTATAACCCCCTTAAAAATTTTGCGGCACCTTGTTTGAAATATAAAGCAATATATAAAGTTTTTTAAATTTGATGCAATCATAACTGAAAAATATTAATTTTGAAAATGTAAAATTATGATAATGTCTCTAGGACAAAACTTTACGTAGAATGAACCAAATAATGTTACATAATATTTAGAGTGTATTTTACAATTAATTGTTTGCTTCATTCTACATACAGTTGTGTAATGGAGACATCAAAATTTTACATTTTTAAAATAAATGTTCTCATTTATGATTGCACCAAATTTAAAAAACTGAACGTTACTGAAGAGATCTTTAAAATCCCTTTCAAACAAGGTGCCACACGATCCCCTTTCTTATTTCAAATTTTTCGAGGGGGGTGCTCATATTTCACATCCGAACCCACCAAGTCACCACCAGTCGTCGTCAATCATTGTCTTCTAGAAATGCTGGATGCCGATTCGTAGTCTATCTAGTCCAGCTTAGAGCATTCTAGATGGCCACATTTGCGTATAAATAAGACTGTTTTATTTTAATTTAGTTTTTAGTTAGATAACGTCATAACGTGCAGATACAAGTGACATAAAGATAGTAAACGCTCATAATAAGCACATGATTAACAACAACCAGTTGGAAGGCAGTTAACATCTGACCCACAGTGTGGCGCTGTCATCGATATAAAACAAATAACGGAGCAGGAAATTTAAAAATCTGATAATAAAGGTGGTATAAAATATAGATTGCATTTTCATAAATTTAAACAATGTTAATTACAGCAAATTATTTAATAAACAGAATACTACAATTATTAGTCTTTTATCGATAAAATATTTTAAATCTATTCATGACAAATGTTTTTAAATTTTTTATTGTTACTTGCAGTGTCCTTCTTAGCCCCTCTGCCGCCTTTGTGCAGGCATAAAAATGCTGCCCCTCTATTTAAATAAAGCTAAACATTTTATGAAATACTAATATAATATTTAACAAGTAAAATCGTTAAATAAAAATAGAAATAAAATAAAATTTAACAAACGAAAAAACAAAACATGAGTTATATATTCCAAAATGGAACTTTTATTTTTAAAAATTTTATTAAGTATAAAATACACTTAAATGGATATCTGAACTAAAGCTACTTCGAATAACTAACTAGAGTCAAATAACTATAGTCAAATAACAAATAGCTAGAGACAAATAACAACAATAATAAGGTTCTACTCCTATTTATAAAGTAAAACTGATTATTAATCAAAGATAATATATAAAAGAGTCTATTATATTCTCAATATATAACTCATGTGCATTTTATTTAAGTATGAACCAATTTGTAGGGTGTAGTAAGAAAAAAAAAGAAGAAAAAACAAATACTGCATAAATACGTGAGGCTGTTTTCTTTTTGCTAAGTCTATTCAGTAGACGATGATATTTTTGCAACAAATTTCGTCAATCTAGTTGTTTACAAGTTTAGTTAGTGACGGTTTTCAAATATACCTGATTGTTTCTGAATTACATAAGTTTAAAGTTATCCTTTTGCCAAAAAGTGATGGAATTATTGGGTCTGATTTTTTACAATTTCAAGCGTTGCTTGAGCTACTGTAAAGAGGTGATACAATTCAACATGGTCGACTTTCCTTAAATGAGAGGTTTCAAGTTCCTAAGCCAAAAATGGCAGTTACAGAAAAAATATTGATTCAAGCAACTTTAAAGATTGGTGTGAAAGCAATTAACACTATTTTACACACACGTTTGAAAGTCCGTAAGCTTTGTTCTGGGTAGATTTCCCAAAACTTGACTTTAGCTCAAAAAAAAGGCCGTGTGAGATAGTGCAGACCTATACTAGATCGTTCTGACTGGGAATCGTTTAATTTGGTGTACAGCATTATCACAGAGGAGTTGAAACATGTGTATACTCAGAGAACAGGATATATAATATTCACGATGCCAAGATTAATTCGACAGTCAATATGCTCCACTTGTTGGTCCGGAGGGAGGAGATGGAAGGTGAGAGGGGATAAAGAGAAGGCTTTTACAACGTTACCTTTTTTTTTATCAATTAATAAATAAGTAATCCAAGGTGTGCGCTTATAATAAAAAAACGTAGAAATCCATGCCGGTGTAAGCCCTGTTGCCACATGCAACTTAACGTTACCTAGGTTTTGGAATTTATTGAAAATTATTACAACTAATTTAGTGAAATTACATCTAATTTAGTTAAATTTGATATAACTAATGTTTCAAAAATGTTTGGGTTCATAATGAAATAGGCATATCGTCGCCGTAGAGGTCAAGGGAGTCAAGCCACAAATTTGGTGCAAATGAGTTATGTGCATAGAAGCTCTTAAAAATCATCAAAAATGCCATGATCAATGTATTTGAGTCACAATATGTCCTAGTTTAACGTATTGTTTAACATATTGTGACTCAAATACATTGATCATGTCCTAGTTTAACGTATTGTTTAACTGGCTTGACTCCCTTGACCTCTATGGCGACGATATGACAACAGCGGAAATTATACCCTCCTGTGTCCCTTAGAATATGTCTTATTTACTACAACACGATATTTGTTAGTAGTTACATCTCCTGTTATCTCTGGGTACACTGCTATGTACTCAAAAAAAGTATCAATCGCCAGTTTGTGTCTTTGAGAATGAGTCAGCTCCTTAGATAAAAGAGACCAGAGATATAACATACACTGGTGTTTAACCTGCGCAAATGTTGCCAATTTCTAAAGAAAGGTTAACGGAGTGAGGGAACTGGGCAGGGACCCGAACTCTGTGACAGGGACCGGACTTTGTTTATTAGCATCATAATGAACTATTAGATTTATTTAAAATATACGTTTAATAGAATTTTGTATTATGAAATAAATTTAACGTGATTTTTTTAATATCAAACAGATGCCACGACATTTTATGTAAAGAGAAGACCTTTTATAGAATATTTTGTTAGCTATTATTTACTACTGGCATTTCTGTAAGAGACTACAGTAAAATGTTGAAATAGAATATTGTTAATCGAGTAAGAAATGGTACTCATTGTCTAAGCGTATTATAAAAAAAGCATGTGCGCAGGCGAATACTGCAAATCAAACCTTGTGAGTTGAACATTATATTTTTTCTACGACTATCACATAATATTAAAAATTAGTCAAATTGAGAAAATGCTGTTTTGTATTATAACCTCAGAAAAAGATATATTAAAGCTTGTTTCTTTAGGAATATTAATTAATATAGAGGATGAGTCACATAAAACTCTAGAAATGCATATGTCTGAAACCAGATAACATTTTAAAATTTAAACCTATTAAAAGTAATTTGGTCGCTAGGAGTGGGTGATTATCGACATAAATTATTGATCATTAATAATAATCGATTATTTTCGATCAATCGATTATTTTCAAACAATCTATTTTTGTTCGTATTTCCTTTAAAATCGACTACTTGATTATCTTTGAAAAATCAAAAATAATAGATTAATTAAAAAACCAATTAACCGATAAATCAGTGTTTACAAAAAATAATAAACGAATTATCGTTTATTTTAAATAATCGATTATTTTTAAATAAACTATTTTTTTTTCGTATTTCCATTGAAACCTATTATTCGATAAATCAATTTTCAAAAAAAAAATAACTGAATTATCGATTATTTACAAATAATCCTTTTCTTTTTTCATATTCCTTTTAAAATTGATTATTTTTCTTTGAAAAATCGAAAATAAGTAATCGATTAATAAAAAGCTGATTGACCGATAAATTGATAATTCGAAAAATAACCGAAATATCGATTATATAATATAACCGATTATATTCGATCAATCGATTATTTTTATATAATCTATTTTTTGTATTTTAAACAAATTATTCGAATACCTTTGAAAAATCGAAAATAATCGATTAATCGAAAATATTCGGTAAATCGAAAATAATCGATTAATTTAAAAAGTCGATTAAACAATAAATCGAATATTTTGAATAAATCTACTCTCTTTTTGTAATTCCTTTATAATCGATTATGCCTTTACCTAAAAAACGAAAACAATTTATTGAAAATGTTCGATTAATCAAAAATAATCGATTAATTATAATGGATAAATCGATTTTCATGAAAACGATAAATCGATTATTTTTGTAACCCCTATCGGTCGCATGCGTTTATCCGAGCATATAGCTCCAAAATTTAGAGATTCGGATTTATTGATCCTGTTATCTTTGAAACCGCATTCGATTGTATAATAAAATAAATATTGCTAGAATTTATATTTTTTTAGTAAACGAAGATTTTTTTCGAGTTGTTTAGGGGTTTATAATGTAACATTTTACTAATAATATGACTAATTTCCGTAACTTTAGTATTTTTTTGCTTATACTAGATCATATTGCGCGTTTTACTTCGTTTTAAGACTTAGGATTCAAATGTCACTTCCGATTTAACCGCAAATAAAATGAACCTTGAAATTTTAAGTAGGTGAACCTGTATTTCATCTAATATTCTTGTAAAAATATCTAATAAACCGCTAAAAACCACCTTTAGTAAATATTCTTATAAAACTACTTTTTAAAAACAAAATTTCGTTAGTAACAATACCTATTTACTTCTTATTTAGATTAAATGTTTAAAATTTTACTCTTTTGTAAATTAATGCATTATGAAATCTATTTTCTGAAATATGTATTTGATGCTTAATATTTATTGAAACCCCTTAATGCGGATCTGAAGTATTCAGCTCAAAGAATCATGGCGACTTTATGTCAAAACGTCAACAAATATTTACTGCTGAAAATGAATATATGGCTCAACTTTCGTTTAGCCGAAATCTGTTATGCAAAAACTGTTGTCATAATAACAATTGTGATGGCTATGAGTAAACAAAAACCGTAATCTTATGGTGAGGAAATGCGTAGTTGCCAAGTTGTAGATGATTACAGTTTTTGTTTAATTTCATTTAAATGAAATAAGTTATGCAAAAAATGTTGCCATGGGCACGCTTGTCATGTTACCGACTAAACAAAATCCCAAATCTCTTGGTGGGAAATGCGTAGTTGCCAAGTTATAGATCATTTAATGTTCACTTTAGTTTAGCCGAAATCAGTTACGGAAAAACTGTTTCCATGGAAACGCGTGTCATGCTAACGACTAAACAAAAATCCAAATCTGGCAGTGAGGAAATGCGTAGTTGCCAAGTTATAGATTATTTAATGTTCACTATAGTTTAGCCGAAATCAGTTATGAAAAAACTGTTGCCATGGAAACGTTTGTCATGTCAACGACTAAAGAAAAACCCAAATCTCGTGGTGAGGAGATGCGTAGTTGCCAAGTAGTGGTTAGTAGGTGGGTGAATCGAGTGTAGCGTGATCTTATGATGTAGGTGGAAAAAGCGCGCCCGGCCGACGTTTCGACATTCGCGCGCGCGAATTTCGAAACGTCGGCCGGGCGCGCTCACTTCGCGCGCTTTCCTCTGTGGTAGTTAAGAGGAGGGTGGGAGGAGCGTAGCGTGATCTTATGATGTAGGTGGAGAAAGGGCATGCCCGGCCGACGTTTCGAAATTCCATGGCAAAGGTTGCCATGGCAACAATTTTTACGTAACTGATTTCGGCTAAACAAAAGTTGACCCTTTTCAACTTGAAATTGAATAACTAAAACACTTTAAATTGCTAATAACACCAACAAATAATTCAAAAAACGGCGGTCCATAAATGATTTACTCACGCGGAGACAAGCATAGAATAGAAATTTCGGAGCAATTCAGATGGCGTCGTGAACACAATGATTTTTAGTTGGTGGGTTACTTAGGGTTGGAATAGACAACGTGCGTGATGTGCAATGTTATATCTCCGGTCTCTTTTATCTAAGGTCAGCTCCATCAAAAGTTGTTCTTAAAAAAAGCCGTTTCCACTGTTGAACAGGAGGATAGACGAACTGTTAATTCAGAAAGATAAACTACAGATTCGCGAAAAACGTCCAAGAGGAAGGATCATCTTGCATCAAGATAACGCTCAGGCTGACACTGCTGCTCGAACAAATGAGTATTTGAATGCCTGAAACATATAAATATTGGGTCATTCGTCGTATAGTTCCTTCCTAGCACCTAATAACTTCTTATTTCCTCGGATAAAGTATACCTTATGGGGTTTACAAAGAAACGGTTGATGCCTTTAAAAATGAAATAAACTACAACCAGAAGATGGAGAAAATGTTTACAAGAATGGTTTTCACGGATGCAAAAATGCATTGATAGTGGAGGAGAATACTTTGAAAGTTATAAATAAATGTTTTTTTTTTGTAAATAAACTGTTTTACTTTACTCAACGGAAAGAGAACAGCCCTTGTAATATATTCTTTATATTCCTGACCTAATCTACATGATCCTTAGAGCTTATAAACTAGCAAACCAATTTCTTATCATCTATCCTTCTTTATTTTTAATTCACGCATGTATGAATTAAGAGATTGTAAAATTTAAATATTTGTAAAACTATAATTTTAAAATTATTTCATTTGTTTTTATATATATTTAAGTTTTATTTTTTCTATTACTACTCTTTAACAAATATTTTTTGCAGACAGACGAATCTTGTTTATCAGATTTGCGACAAATACATTGTATATCAGAGTTAGCTGATAGATCAGAGAGGCCCAGTTTGAGATCGAAAGCCAGGAATACCAAAGATGTAGGTGCAAGACATGGTTCTCCTAGTGGAGAAAATACCTTAAATAGTAGTTCACAAACAATATCATGTAAGTGTAAGTATTGTAAAGAGTGAATCAGTGAGTGATTGAATTTTTTAAATAGTATTTATTTGAATTTGAGTTATAGTATAGCAGCAGTGATAAAATATCAACTGTATTGAATTTTGACTGCTTCTATGTAGTAACTTACACCCATATGCACAATTCCACTGTAAAAAGCTTTTTTAACTATCAAATGGTTAAGATTTATCAAGCAGCTAGGAATAATAATTGATATGCACCATGCATTTGACACTGTCAGTTAGTAAACAGTTGATTATCAAAACTTACCAGAAATATTTGGTTGACTGAACTAATGTGGCTAACTTTATTCAGCTTTGATTTTGCTTTTAAACTGTAATCTGTGTATATATTATTACTATATTTCTTCATTTTCTATTGTTCCTTTGTTCTTTATAAATATATGGAGAAATATAAAAAGGCTCAAAATTTCACCGAAAGGGAAACAGAAGCCTTAATTGTGCTAATAATAAAAAAATATACAATTGAAAACAAAAAAAATTGAATGATTTCTTTTTGAAATTGATTGATTTCTCTGTTGGCTCTTCAATATCACCTAATAAGTCTACTAATATTCGAACTGTACGTTTGGTCATGCAGAATCCCATGTTTACATATTTACACTTGAAGTATTTCTAAGACGATAATGAAATTAATGATTAAACACCAGTTGATCCATAAAATAAATTTCAATATTTGATTAATGCTTTTTACTTTAATTTAAACAAAACTAATAAATATACATAACCTCTTTTCTTATATCTTGTATTAACAGTTTTAAACAGGCCGGATTTGGCTTGTTTAACTATCATACACCAGCAGTTTGTCATTTTATCTTTTACGAATGGTGCATACTAAAACCTACGTTTATCAGTCTGTTACGAACTTAACCCTCTAAGGTAATCTAAGGAATGGTACATATGGCTGTTATAAGTAATTTAAAGCTGCTAGTGTCTTGTATATCTTTTTTTGATACAGATCCACATTATTTTTGCATAACGTCTGTTTTTAGAAGTATTAATAAACTAGAAAGAAATTAATAATAAAAAACCACACACTTCTATAATATACCTCGCATGGGAGCCGTCCGACACGCAACATGCGGGGCGTCGACATTTTGGACTACGTCCACAGATTCTACTTCGGGCTAACATTCTAATCCACCTTTCCCATTATTCGACAATTTCGCATTACTCATGCGCGAAAAAAGCGCTGGACTTTTGAATCTAGTAATTTTCCAAACACTTTGCTATCTCTTATCCTCGTCATACAACTGTTGGGTTGGCTACGATGATTACGTCATGTCATTTTTACTTTAAACACTTGTCATCGATTTTATAAAGTAGGGAGCAGTAGGGATTATGAAGACTAGAGACACAGAGCTAGAGATAAGGAGGCGAATCGGCATTCTCGAAATACGGTCCCAAAAAACGAACGCTAATTGAGCTTATTTAATTCACCGCAAGGGCGCTGGTGCTAGTAGCGCTGTTCAAAATACATGGCTTCTTATGGGAATTTTACATAATTTTGTCAAAATAATAAAAATAAACTTGTTTTTTGCCAAAGCACAGAATATACCGTTGTATTTATTTCTAAATAAGTCTCGCATGTTTTAATTGATAAATTATTTAATTTTATCTGTATAAAATGCAAATAGGTAGGTATGACCAAAATTGAAATGATTTGTTAAATGGTGAAAGTATATTTTGTGTCTTAATTTTTTTGAATTACCTAAATATAGTTCTAAGAGCAAAATAAAACACAGTTAACAGATTTTTTAATTGTTATAATACAAGCATAAAGGGAGATTTGGAAATGTACATAATATTGCCCCATCCTTTAATTTTGGCTTTCCCCTTTTTATTTTGCTAACAGTACCATCAGTAAAAAGAGTATCATAATATTTGGAAATATCTTCTAAAAAGTGTAGAACAGCATCATCTCTAGAAAGTGCTTTAGAAACGTTATATATGCTGCCACTGTTATAAGCGTTTAGGATCCTATAAAAAACATTTACAATGACAAAATTGGGGTTCAACAAAAAAATAACAGTAGTAACTCTTTATCTAACATTAAAACTATAGAAAAACAAATTTTCTTTTCTAGCCAGTTAAATTTAATGTATAATTATTATTGTTGTTTGTAAGTCAGGATATATGAGTGTAAAATTTTATTTTATAGAAATTGTAATAAAATAAACTACACTCCGTGATACGTGTTGTGACTAGTTTACAATAAATATATTATTTAGACATAAATACATTATTTTACTTACATTAGAAGCTTTAAGAAGACATTAAATTGATTTCTCCTTTTGTTTTCTTTAGTTATACATTTGATTTGTATCCTGTTTTACAATCTGGAACGAAGTAAATCTTGCTTTAATTTTTTTTTGTCACCGATGTTACTTGTACTCAGGTACTTTTTTCACATTATTTTGATTTTTGTCACCATTTTTTAAAAAATCATTTCATTTTACATTGACTTATACAGAAAAAGTATGACAGTGACATTCGACTTGCCAACTACAGTCAATTCAGCGAACTTTATAAAAAGGACAGAAATTTGATTATTGCCTATTCGCCTCCTTCTATCTAATCTTTATAGTAGGGAGTATGAAGACTAGTCTTCATAGTAGGGAGCCAGTGAAAATATTTTAGTACACAATTACAGAAGGCTAAATTATAAATGTATCTTAATTCTTAGCCTGTAGAAGGTGGTAATACTATAAATTTCAATAAACTTTTTTTCTACTCACTGTTGATGTAAATAATATCTGAAAGTTTCAAGTTTGTCCTTTATGACAGCATTTTCTATACAGGTTTTTTTAAAAACGTCATCGTCGAGGACTCCATTTGTAATAAAATTTTACTATACGTAAATAACACCTAAAAGTGTCACTGGCTCCCCTAACAATTAGGCATTCCAAACAAAATGGCTACCAGTGGATTTTGATAGGTTATGATATGGCAACCCTGTAAGCCTAGTGATTTGAAAGGGTCAACGAAATAGACAGTTATAAAGATTGATCATCCATGTTTTTCAAAGATATACTGATTGTTATGTCTGGAACTTCTGCACAATATTTCGTCACTAAATTTGGTTCCAAACCTACGTTGTTAACAATAAGCCCTTCACCGATGTTGGTACTTTCACAGCCCCTGTGGTGGGCGTTAGCGTCGCACCCAATGACGAGCTGCTTGTTGTTCCTCTTGCAATAGACAACTAGTTCTCGCACTATCGCTGGAGGAGGTGGTTGGTCTTGACCTGCGTCTCCTGGGAATTCAACAGAGCAGACTACGACATCCTTACTGTTATCCCCCACTGGGATCGAGACCTGGACTACATCGGCGGTGCAGTAACCTGTTAACATATTTTTTTTTTAATGATTTCTGATAAGAAGGCATGCTCTTGGTTTGTCCGGAGAGTTACCGGCTACCAACTTTCCAGAACAGTTTCCAAGGTCTTTTATTCGGAGGCTGCTGTAAATCCAGAGTTCTCAGATAAAATCGATATCTAGTTTTTTCTTGGCAAAACTGCCAAGAATATATGAAGCCACTTGTGCATCGTGAAAGTTTTCCTATAGAACAAGCACCGGATTGCCCATTGTTAATGAGTGGGAGGGATTGGAGGAGGAGGAGGAAGTGGAAGAGGATTGTTTTTATCACTCCTATTCTCAGTGTTTCTCTTTCCTTTAGTTTTGGAGCCTTTTCGCACTGCTCTCTTGGACAGTGGTGTTCCCCTTGTCCTTTGAGGAGGCGGGCCTCCAAACAGGTTTTGAAGGTACAGCGATCCTCTCGTTTGCCACTTCGGCTACTGGAGTGATGTTTTCCTTGGTGACCTTTTTTCTCTCCTGGGCTCGTCTGACTATGTCTCCGAATAACACTGAAGCCTATTGGCTTATTGTGTTTCTTGCCCTTGGTGACCTTACTCGAGGTTTTCGAGACAGATGGCGTCTGTTGAGAGTCTGTTTGGTCTCTCCGCGACGCCTCTGCGGTCTCAGAGCCGGAATTGTACCAGCTCGAAGTCGAAATAGATCCGGAAGTTCATCTGCTCCAACTCCCTCATCGAGACATCGTCGATGGAAAGTGTCCAGGCATGACCCGACTGACCTGAGGCTACCCAGTGTAGACCGCTCCTGGGTTTGCAGGCCGTGATTCTACGGCTCTCATAATTGAGAGCTGTATAGCTTGCAGCTGTTTATTCATATCTGATAGTTAGGATGTTCAAGATGAATAATCCCCACTTGAACTCTCGGCCGCAGCGTTTCGGTTCGACTTCGGCATCCATACGGAGTTTTTTAACTTCCGTTTTTGGAGGGCTGTCGTCGGAGCTGAAACGTTTGGTTCTAGACTCCTTTGGTGGGGTTTTTTCCTTCACCGGTTGTCTAGATTGGTTAGTTGGGCTCATACTGAAATATTTCAGAAGCTAGAAGGAAAAATAAAAATTAAATTAATCTTCCAAAGTAAATTGATGTAATTTCTGTTGATACTATTTGATTACTTTGAAAAGATATTATTTATTTTAAAATCCTCAGCTTTTTAATACAATAATTCTCTGTTTATGGAGATATATATTTTAACAATTTAATTCGTTCGCCCGTATGACTTTGAACTGAATTTTTGGTATCACCTTGCACAATTACAAAAATAGTGCAATAGAAAAATGCACCATTGAAAATATGTTTTGTCTTCAAAATATCAAGCGGCTGGATTCAGTTTAAAATGTTATGTTTTTTAACAATAAAATTTTGTGCTTGTAGGACTAAACTGACTTACTGTAGCAATCTGTACAGTTATAAAAAAAGGTTCAATGTAAACAATGCGTGCTTTCACTTCCGCAATATTAAATTTCAAGAAATTCTATCATTGTGGAAAATCCATTAAAGCTGTCCTTTTAATCTCAAGAAGACAGATGTCAAATCGTAGCATGACCATGGTGTGATGTAAGATTTAAAATCTGATACAAGTAGTCCAAAATGGCGTCGATTTTATATCTTATTTTATTCCTGGCGCAATAAACTTGCTCAAACGACCTTATTTGATATATTATTAGAAGTGTGTGTAAAAAACGTATTAAACCGTCCTAATGACTATAACTCAAGTTCTATTTAATGTAAAAATAGGAATTTTTTATTTATTATAATTCTCCCATTAGCAATTTATTCTCCAACTATGTTGAAACCGCTTACAAAACCGTCGATGCGGAGCTCCGTTGAAGGCCTTAATCAGGAAATCGAGAGGTTGGTGTTAAAGACTGATAGCGACGCACATAGCAGTAGGTGTTTTGACATCGACAGGTATTCTGAGACGATACCCGAAGGACATAGAGCTCCAGTCGCGGATTTGTTTAAATTCGCAGGAAGATCGAGGTCTGTTGATACGCAAACGCCGCAAAATTTTGGAAATAGTTCGAATTCTTCGGGTAAGTTTTGAATCAAAATCAGTTAAATTAAGCTATATTGTTTAGGACAAAAAAAAAAGAACAATCTTTGAAGGGAGAGGTGTATGACTATAATGTTCCAGCCTTAAAATCTCAAGGAGTTGTTTCTCGAATACGGACCTATTCGAGAAATTTGAAAATATGTAAAAATTCAAATTTTTAAGAAAATTATTCGAATAAAAGTTGTTTGTAATATCATTCTCTATAATTCTTATTCCACACATAATTTCTCTAAAATGGAGCGTATTCGATATTTTTGAGAAAACGTCTAAATTTTGAATTTTGAAAAAAAAAAAAAACAAAAATGGATAAAGAGAAAAACACAAAATTTTAAATTTAGTCTTTAATCCATCTTTACCGCAGGATGGATTAAAGACTAAATTGTTTAGGTAAACTTTAATATAATGGAAATTAACATATTTCACTGAAGCACATTGCTTTTAAAATTATATGTGATAAAATTTGGTTCGTAAGTTATGTTCGTAAGAAAAATTGTGTACATAACTCGTTGAAAATCGTTATTTCTGCACTCTCACTTTCCAAAAAGAACGAATGGGGTACAAAAAGGGTTCAGTTCACGTTTGGTACCCTGTTTAAACCAAACGCCCTTACAGGCAGGTACACTTTACTCGCTTTTTTACGTTTTATAATTTAATATTCAGTTGTAGCAAGTTAACGAGCTATAATGATTTTTTTTAAGTCCAAGTAAGATTACAATTAAGTGCATCTGTCTAAATAAGGGCGATTTCCTTTTAACGAATACTTTCTTGCATGTGATATATATTAAAAGTATTAATAAAATAAATTTATAAAATGAGGTAGGTATCTACGCCTATGGCAGATCAAACAAAATTGTCGGTATAGGTTCCGAACGAGTTTTTATGATCTGCAATTGATAATGGAAGAACTATACCACCGTCGTTCTTGAAGGGGTGCTGTGACTCCTTGTCAATCCCACTTAGCCAAATTTTCCAAAAATCATTTGGTAGTGGAATATTTCCATCTGCGTGGAAGTTTTCCCACCTTATGCCAGTTTACAGGAAAGGGGATAAAAGTGATATAAAGAATTATAGAGGTATTTCCATTATATCGATAATTCCAAAACTATTTGAATCCTTACTAACAGATGAAATGTTTTGCACATATAAAAACTATATCTCACCTCAACAACATGGCTTCTATCAAGGTCGCTCGACATCAACTAATCTGGCAATCTATCAATTCTTAATATCATCAATTGAAAATGGTTACCAGGTTGACACTCTCTACACCGATCTCTCAAAAGCTTTTGACAGTGTCTGTCACGATTTGCTACTCAAGAAACTCTCTGGTTCTTATTTTTACTGGATTAAATCTTATTTGAGTAATCGGTGTCAACGTGTCATAGTGCATAATTCCGTATCATGTGACGTTTCAGTCCTATCCGGTGTTCCTCAAGGTTCACATATAGGTCCTCTATTGTTTTCCTTATTCTTTAATGTTACGTCCTGCTTTCTTAATAGCCAATGCCTTCTTTTTGCGGATGATTTAAAGTTTTTTAGTAGAAACACTGGTAATAACTCCGCATTACAGTCTGACCTAAACAGGTTAGCTACCTGGTGTAAAAATAACGCTCTTTCTATAAATATTTCTAAGTGCACAACCATGCATTTTACAAGATCCCACAATCCTACTATTAACTGTTACAGTTATTGATCTGGGCATTATTTTTGATACCACAATATCTTTTAACAACCATATAGATTCGATAGTATGCAAAGCACTCAGAATGCTTGGCTTCATCAAGAGACATACTAGGTACGTGAATGACACAAAAGCAATCATGATACTTTACAATGGCCTGGTAAGAAGTGTCCTGGAATACTGTTCTGTTATTTGGCAACCTACTTACACCTGTCATATCAATAGAATTGAAAGGGTGCAACGTAAATTCGTAAAATACCTGCTCTTTACACCGATTTCATAGCCATAACTCATGTTATCAAATAAGATTAATGCTTTGCGGCATGCAGAGCCTGGAATGCAGAAGAAAACAGGCTTTACTCCTATTCCTGACTAAATTAATAGGTGGTTCCATCAAGTGCGGGTCACTGCTTGAGAGAATTCAACTATTGGTTCCTGTTCGACGGACTCGGCACACATCACTTTTGAATGTAAAAAGACACAGAACCAATTACGGACAAAGTGCATTTATTGATCGCTTATGCAAGAACTATAACAAATTTTACTCAGACTGTGATATATTTAATTGTAATATTTTGGCGCTGAAAAGGAACTTGTAACTCCTGAATGTCTAAGTTTTACTGGAGTCGTCCCGCGGTGTTGTGTTATTCTTCCCTTTCTCAATATTTTATATATATTTTTTAATTTATTTTATAGTTTTTAACTCTATAATTGTTTGTGTTAGGTTAGATAATACTGTACTATTTGGAATTTTACATTCTGTAAGTGCTACATAAAATAAATAATTAAAAATTATTTTGCTAATTTTCAAACGAAGAGATTCTAATAAAATACATGCATTTTAGCATTGTATTCGTTTAATTTAGTATATAAGTAACTAATATTTAATGTAGCCTTATTATTTATACGGAGTGGCCCAAAAGTCTGGAAACGGCCAATTATCTCGTAAATTGCTAATCCTAATTGTACAAAATTTGGGGTACAACTATTTTGGGATATAGAGATTTCAGATTTGATATTTGCAATGTTGCCAGATTTGCTGTTTCTCTTATATTATTATTATTTTGTATAATTAGGATTAGCAATTTACGAGATAATTGGCCGTTTCCAGACTTTTGGGCCACTTTGTATAGTCCATAATAATAATTATAATTACGAGATCGTTAATTGTATATGTGTTTTAATAAAATATCTACGCTAAGCACTTTCAGTGTTATGTTTTCCAGTGTATATGCTAAGAATCCCGTCTCTAATGGTCTACGTATTACTTAGTTATAAAAAAATCGCCGGATTTTGCGATGGCAGCAAAAATCAGTGGCAATTATTTAAATTTTATTTTGATCATATTTCTCTTATTTAGTGAGAAAAAATTCTCCGGTTTTTTTAATCGGTTTTAAATTTTACTTGTAAAGGAGGGTGTTTTTTAGAATTTTAATTTTTATCGTAGTTTAGAAAATAAAAATTTCATAATTTTTTTTTCAAAATGTAAAAAACGCGCCAATTGTATAAAAATTACCAATCGATCATCGAAAACAAAAAAAATATATTTTTAAAAATAAGGACGTTACGGTCAAAAAACGAAATATATGTGGTATGCGGGGCTCTTAATATTAGAAATAATTTAACATTAACCATGCCTCGTCATTCTACAACAATTTTTAATCGCAGCTTTTCATACAATGCCATTGTTCTGTACAACAGCCTTAACACATCTATAAAGAATTCAAACTATCTGAATGTTTTCAAAAATAGACTAAAACGACAGCTCTTGGTCTCCCAAAGTATTTAAGTGTAATTATTTAATGTGTTTATTGCGGAATGGATTGCTCTTAATGTCAAATTTTTTTTTTATTTAAATGTGACTAACGGAGTAGACTGAACAATATCGTATATGTTCGGAAAAATTGATCCTTACATTACTCTTAATAAGATTTTAGTACTATATTAGTTGTAATTATCTACCTTATATGTGTTTATTATTGATGTATTTTGTAATTTTTATTCATTTAATAAGGCCGTTGGCCTGTTGGGATACAAATAAATAAATAAAATAATTAAAAAACATTTAAAAATTCACTTTTGAGTTATTCTATAAATCGACATTTTCTACATTTATTCTTTTCTTTATTGTTATCTTTCTTCTAGGTGAGAGCCAAGGTTCTAGTCCTGACCAAGAAGGCTCAAAACTCGGTTCCTCACCTCAAATAAACCGTTTTCTAGCCAGAGAACCACCAGATGGATGCGAAAAGGTTCAATCCAAATCTCTCATTGACAAAAAAATGTTCCCATTAGAGCACATGCCGCAACCAAGCACATTCAAGTTGAAGCCTAGCTTAGGGTCCGCTTTTCAAATCCTCAAACCTGTCAAAAATGACACCTCAGATCAAGACTTACCGATAGTGCCCTCTGACGATGACGACGATTAGACGTTTATATTTTGTTTCACTATTGATTTTATTATGAAAAAAAAGTATTTGATGATGGGTATTTCCAAAGATGAATTACAAAATTATATCAAGTATACCATTCAGGTATCACTTATGACCAATACAAGAATTTCTATTTCAAATTGAGCAACTTTATTTCTGACCACAATGATAATTTTCTAATAGAAAAAAAAAAAATTAATAACGTTTAATTTGTTTAAATGTCCGCTATCAAATACAGATATAAATACATTATTAAAATGATGTATAGATGATGTTTAAAATGTTCCTGGGTTGTTTTACATGGATGAATCAATTTGTCTATTTTTGATCATGTGTGTCGTATCTAGAACTCGCTTTTGGGAATGTTTCTTTTAAAATTCCAAACTAAGTGATGTTTCAGAAAAAATAAATGTTATACATAATGTTTCAGAAAAAAAATTAAAGGTGTTAAATGAGTTACAAAAATATCCCCTCTATTTCAATCAGAATAAAATAATCAAATGTTCATAGAAACAATGAGAAAGTCCCAGTTAACAGTCAGAATATTTGTGTAACCACGGAAACCAAATAGTATTAAATTCATTTAATTTCTTCTAATATTTTCATGAGTGTTATTTTAAAGATCAATATCAATTATTGAATTCAACTTCTCGGGTTCGTTTTAGCTTTTCAGTTGTCGGAAAAGGATTCCATTTTTTCCCAGGATTTTCTGTTTCTTTCCAATGTTTTTATTTCATCTACTATTTTCTTTTCGTTAGCTGTTCTTATTAATTCTGAAATTGTTCTTGTTAGTTTGTCTGACTTCTTTCTTACCAAGTGTCCATATCAATTTAGTTGCTACTGTTTTATTTTTATTTTTTTCATTGTTGGTTCTTGTTTTGTTATTTTTCTAATATCCTCATTTTTTGACCGATACCATTTGGGTTTTCTTGCGATTTTTTCATATTTCATTTCCATTACATTAATTTTTATATCATCTTGTGTATTAATCAGTTGACTCAAGCATAGGTTGGTATTGTCATTTTTAACTTCGTTTCGATATCTTTATGTTCCAGTCATATTTGGTTTTCTGCTTCTATTTTCTCATCTTGTCAGTATACTTAACAAATATTCATAGGTTCAGTAAACACTAGGTATTCCTTCAAAGGACGTCCTATTTTGGTCCCGTTTCTGTTACAGGTTAAGACAAAACGTCCAGTTTTCGGTCCGAGTCCAAGACGTTAATGGGACTTCCTATATATTGTAATCGTTGCTACTTGAATCGATAGCTTCCAATTAAAAACAAAATATTACCTAAACCTCATAAGAAACATTTTCGGTACCAAATAATTAACTAATGTGAGTTAGAGTAACAAAAAAGAAAAGAAGGTTATAAGTGTGATGATGGTGTTAACTGGAGTATAAAGTAAGTGAAATGAGTGTTGAAGTGAGAATAAAATGATCTGTGTTGGCGGCAGCGTTGGCGAAAAGAAAAGACCTGAATGGTTGAATGCGAGTAGGGTAGACTGGGGAGGATCAGACACTTTTTTTTAAATTTTGTAATATTCGCAAAGTTTTGGTTTTTGGAAAAATATTAATACTTGAAATCTTTTGCTACATATATTGTTATTATAAATTAATTTTGTTAGTTGGATTTAAACATTTTGCAATATTGTTTTTTCCTAAAAAAGGAAACTGTTCCAAATGACGAATGTCCCCCTTGGCTGGGGTAGCTCCGACAGCAGGGTAAGGTAGATGTGACGCTAATTGGGGTGCATTAGACATTAACGTATTATTGTTTAATGAATAAACAAATATTAAACTTTATTAAAAAAACATAAACAAGAATTAAGTATGTACATAAGTAACTTAGGAAACATTATATCGGCTTAAATCTATATTAAAATTGTACATAGTACTTGATCGTGATGTTCCGGGAGGATGGATAGGTGCTGGCATTTTTCTTCTCTTAAAATAATGGCAATGTCTGGAACAGTGGGCTTGCAGAAAGTTGTAGAACTTTTTCTGCGCAAAAAATTCGCTGTGTAATTTCCTTGTTCTGGATTATCTTCTATTATGCATCCCATATAAAACTTATCGCCAGTTTTACATGTGAACTTGGTCAGAACAAAATCGCCACGTTTAATTGTATCTTGGTCGCACAATTTAAATTGATCGGTTTGGCTATAATCGTCGTCTATGTCATCGAAATCACTTAGTGTATAATGGCCCAATTGAATCGTCTGTGTCAGCAACGCTGAATGTTTCTGATTCAGCTGAATCTGAAGAATAAAATTCAGCTTTTTTAATTTTCTTAGGCGCTTGCTTTCTTTCAGCTGTAGCTTTTTTCATGTTTCTGTTCCTTTCCAGTTCCATTAAACGATCCTTCTCCGGAGTGTCAGTATATATACGCGATTTTCCCCCTTTTTAGATTTGGGGGCGGCGATTTTTGGAAGAGGACGCAAACGATCCGGAGTAACATATTCCGTATTTTTAGTGCTGGGAGGTGGATCGGAAGTTTCCTCTAAATCGGTGACTACTGTTGGTGGCTCTCTAGTATGCCCATGCCACGAAAATTCTTCTTCTGGAAAAATTTGAGTGTTCAGTGGATAAATACCCGTAGATCTAAATGATTTTTCAATATTTTCTGCTGTAAACGCTCGTTGAAATGGTAGTTTTGAAAGCTGAGCTATTTCAAAAATGGTTACTACTTTTCCAGGGTTATTTGTTAAATAATCATTAAATGAAGTTTTGCAATAGGTTTTAAATGGGCCAAAGACGGAAACGTCCAAGGGTTGTAAACGATGGGACGTGTGAGGCGGGAACGACAATAAGATTATACCATTTTCTCTACAGTAAATAATAGCGTCAAGACTGCAAAGACTACTATGGTTATCGAGTAGGAGTAAAATTGGTTTTTCTTTAGAACATTTACTGTGATGCACGATATGCTTCAGTACACCAGTAAATAAATCACTGATCACTACTAAATATTTCTCGATATTCCGTTTTCTTGGATATATATATAAAGGTGGAATATAATTTCCTGATGCATTGATTATCCCAATGACAGTAACAAGAGACCCTCGCTCGGCTGACACAACTTGAGAAACAGTTCTCTTTCCTTTTTCACTTATTACTTTAGGTGCTTGCAAGACAGTTGTTAGTCCAGTCTCGTCAAGATTGTAAATATCTTTTGCTTCGAAATTATGTTTCTTTAATAGATTGGTCAAATTTTCAACAACTACTATGCTACTACTACTTTATTAAAATCGGAAGCACGAGCAATGCTTGTATTTTCTGGTTTGCGAAGGCTTAAATTACTATTCATCTTCATAAAGCCATATATCCAGTCAACACCTGCAATTTGATCTGATTTCCATCGAGTGGGGCATTTAATATTATTAATTTCCGCATATTGAAATGCAAATTTTCTAGCTGACAAATATGTCAATCCATACTTTAATATCGAACATTTTTTTAAAATATTCAGCAAGCTCAGTGTCTTGGTTTTGCGTGAAAATTTTGTTTGACGTGTATTTTGAACTGTAATAATTCGATTCATCATCGGTGCTTTGCCCAGAATCAGTGCCATGTGTACTTTGTTCTTTCTTTATTCTTGTTATAATGGTAGTCCTCTTTAACTTATATTTTAAAGCTGCTGAAGTTGGCGTTTCTAGTTTTCGGATGACATCTTGAACTGCTGATTTCATTGCCTCTTCTGAAATTTCAGTTCGTTTGTCTTTTTTATGTATTTTCGTGGCATTTTTCTGTAATAAAGATAAACATTTCAAATGAAAAACTTTGAAACTAGTAGGTACTATTGTGCTAACATTTGAAAACAGTAATTTAAACAGACTTTTACCATATGGGGTGGATTCGACAGTGTCGAATCCTACCCAAAATAGATTGTCGAATGGTCCCCATAACCACTTGTTTCTTTTAAAAATTTATTAAACCTACATAATTTAATTATTAGTAAAAAATAATGTTACTTACCAGCTTAAACATCAATTTATTTATTACAGTTAATTTATTTATTGTTTATAATAAAGGATGGCACGCAAATTTTTGGAATTTTAAGCACTGTAATTTATAAAACACGTGGCGAAAAACAGCAAACGCGTTTAACGTCTACTATATTTACAGAACAACTAAAATATTTTGTGGGATTATTCTATGGACTACCTCGAGTATTCACGAATTTTACCAAAATTTAACTTTTCATTTTGCGGCAAAATTGACACTGTCGAATGCACCCCAGTGTCAGATCCTACCCAGTCTACCCTACTGCTGTTGGAACAAATATAATTTTGATAAAATTATAAAACCTAATTTTGACAAAATGATAAAACGCGGTTATTTATTTATTTCTTTTAAAAAATGTATACAAAAGATGAATGAAAAAAAAAAAACGGTTCATTGTAGTTGATTTCGAGCTTACACTATGTGAGCTCTCCAGACCAAGAGAGACATTTTATTTACATAGAAAATATAACAAAATTTAAAAAAATTAAGATTAAATATAAGAAAGAAGAATTACAAGATATATACCGGAAGAACTTAGTTCATTTATTGTCTTTAAAGAAACCTGCAAATATTAATTTCTTTAGTTGTGTTATGAAGGATGTTATTATACATATTATAAAGATACCATTACTGTCCCATTGATGTTGCTCATAAGTCGTTCCTGTTACGGCGATAATGGTTATGGATTTTCTTGTTAGTAATAAGGTGTAAATTTGAGTTTTGTTTCATTCTGTAGGCATCTGTGTATATGTGCGCATACTTGATGTACATAGATTGAATCAATATCCATTATCTTGTTAGGCAGGTAAAGATCTGATTTTGGATATAACTGTGGCAAATTGAAGATTTTCTTTATTGCCTTGTTTTGCAGCACACAAAGTGGTTGAATTTTTACATTGTATGTGCATTACCAAATAATTGTCAAGTATGTTAGATGACAATTAACAAGACAGTTGTAGATCATTTTCTTGTAGTTTAAAGATATGTATGATATTCTTCCAAGAATGCCAATATAGGTAATGTGTTGTTCCCAAGATAGTGTTTCATCTATTAATAGACCAAGATATTTTATGCAGTTTTATTTAAAAATTCATTACCAATTCATTAAATTATTTGATGCCATTCACTATCATTAGAATAGAAATTACCATAAAGTTTGATTTATTTATAAGGAGCAGGTCATGTTAAACATCATTTTTTATCTGAGCCTTATTTTTGTTAAAATGTGTTATATCAGTATAATCCGCAAACAACCGAAGGTCACCTATGAGTGGTAGTTTAGAAATGGAGTTGATATGAATTAGGAACAGTAGGTCCGAGTATTGACCCTTGTGGTACTCCACATACAATATTTGACACATACACCACACCATTTGCATGAACATATTGGATGCGACCCTCAAAGTAGTCCTTAAACCAATCAAGTGATTTGCCTGGATCTCCAATATTTTCCAGGATTCTAAGTACTGTAACATACTGTGATTCACAGTATCGAAGGCCTTTTTTAGATCAAATGATATAAATGTACATCCAAAACCCCTATCTCTTTTATCCAGAATACTAGTAATTAAGTCAACAACAGCATTAGCTCTACTAGGTCTTGCTAGGAACCCATACTGACCAGAAAACCAGAAATCATTTAGGACTAGAAATTTGCACAGTCTTTTATTCACACAAGTTTCCATTATCTTGGATATTACAACCAATAAAGATATGGGTCTATAATTACTGGACATGGAGCAATTACCACCTTCAAATATAGGAATAATTTTTGATACTTTAAGGGCATTTGGTTCGAAGCCAGATGTAAACGTTAAATTAATGAGATATATCATTATTGAATTCCTTTAATTTTTCAGCTGCTAGATTATCTTCTCCAGGACTTTTATCTTTCTTGAGAGATAAAATTATATTACTAATTTCTTGAGCTGTAGTTGGTTGTAAGTGAAAGTTACTTACATGACTAGAACGGAGCATTCTTAACTGGTTCGCATAACTGGACAAGTTTCGGTTCTATACTGGTAAAGTAGCTATTTATTTCTCCCACTATTAACTTTGGGTCATTAACTGTTAGTGAGGAAATTGCAGAGTATTTTTTCTGTTTATAGTAACTAATAATAGTATTTAGAGTTTTCCACATTTTTTAGGTATCGCTTTCAGCACTAGTTAGTTGATCTTGATATTACTCGCGTTTCCTTTCTCCAATAGCCAATTTAAGAGAAATTTGAGCAGTTGTATACAACCTCTTTAAATAATCACTGCCAGGGAATTGTTTATGCCTTTTGAAATGATAATCTCAAGTGACCATTGTTTCTAAATCGGTTTCGTATAGTTAGTTTGTTGAACACAGCAAAAAGGACGTTGGGGTCATGCCAGGCCGTTGATCTGATATGTTGGAGTAACTGTCCAAATTTAGCCCTATCGAATATATTGAATAATATCTGTGGTCGCTGATATCTCAGTCATCGATAGCTAGATCAGTTGTGTCATTATTAGCTTCGTTCGCGGAACCGATCCCGAATGTATTCTGAACGCTAAGGTAGACCATACACGCATGCATAAACATTTAAACAATACAAATCCAGTTATAATATGCAGTATAATAAGCTGTTATTACTAATTGTGTAATCTATCAGTGGTTTTGGGGATGCAGTAACCCTTGTCGGTATTTCCTCATTAATGTTCATAAATCCATTAGAAAAAATTGTAAATTCAAGGTTTCGTTTTTGCACACTATTAACCAAATAGTCTATATTAAAATTACCGAAGATCCAACATTTCTTCCCATCTTCATTTAAGAATTTCAGATTCTCATCTAATTTCATAATAAATGTAATAATGTCATGGTCTGCAGGGCGATAAATACCACCAATTACATAATTAATTTTTTCTAAGTGGACGAAGAGCATTGAACATTTTCCTTCAACACTGGAAATTATTTTATATTGATAACAGGTTTTTATTAGAATTGCATGCCGACTTAAGTAGGATCCAAGGTTTCATCTTGCCAGCACTGGCAATACTGTGTGTTAAATTTAATGCATTCCTGTTGTTTTTTGTAAACTGAAAAAGTTTTACTCTCGGACGTCTGATTTATGTCTCTAGGAAGTTTCGTGAAGGTCCGGGTGAGGTCCCATAGGGATGTCCCTATGACGTTGTTTGGGAATGTCCTGAAGATTGACAGAAACGGGACATTAGAATGTCTATTGGACGTCAGATTTACGTCCCGGTACCGCAAGACGACGTCTCTCGGACGTCCTTCATATTCATAAAGGACGCCTTTTAGACGTCTTTAAAACACCATTTTTTTAAAAAAGTCAATCCATTACTACTTTATTTTAAGTTGAATACCTAATTGGGATTATTTGATATTAAAATGCTTAGTTCTTTACTTGAAAAATTAATTATCAGTAATTACCTTTTAACTCGGGATATTTTTTTCTGAAACATTCTGTATATTTCTTCGAATATTGAACAAATTATAGTTGTGACAGATTGTACCTTCAAATGTGGGCTGTTCCGATTCAATAGAATTCTAATGTTTGAAGGTAATTCATTTTCGATTATAAAAGTGAATAAAATATCTGGCAACAAAAATTCGTTACAATGTAACTGGACGGTTCTGCCAGGTTTTACTCATAACTATAATTTCTCGTGAACCAATTTTTTTTTTTTTTTTCAATTAACAGGAATCAAAATGTTTGGTAGGGGCCGATATATATTTTTACAAAGTCTAGATACGCTTCAGCAATGCTGTTCTGGATTTGGAGGTAAATTTATGTTGGACCCGGCGAAGAATAAAAATGTCTATTGGTCTTTACGGTAAAAGACACGAGTTTAAGCAATCTTTATTTTATTGATTTTTGAATTTTCTGCATCCATGATTTTTGAAAAAAGTGTTTGTTAGGACAGCCTCTATAAAAATCACACTGTGATACCAGAATCCACCCTTTGTATTTAAGTGTTTACTACGTAAGACGAAAAATAAAAAAAGTTCTAAATAATGTCCATGTTCTCACACTCAAATTCTTCATTTTCGGCAACATTGTTTTTATGTAGAACCTTTCTATTTAGTTTTTTGGTATAGTTTTATTTTTGGAAGGCCCTAACATTACATTAAAACCAAAAAAACTATATAAAGTGCACATCTAAAGTCCCTTACATAATGTAAATGAATGAAATTTGGTATATTACATAGAAAACTTTCTACTGGTAACAGTTGACATAACAATCAAAGTAGATGCCACGGTGCCATTTTAACTACTAATTTTAAATGGCATATGCCGAGAGGCACTTCGTTTGAAAGGTATTTTTAAAAATCCGTTTATCCATGTTAATTTTGTTTTAATATTAGTTTTGAATACAATATACCGTTTAAAATTAGTGATCAAAATGGTACTTAGACATCATCTTTGACGGTTACTCCAATTACCAGTAGAGAAGTTCTTTAAGAATACAAAATTTCATTAATTTACGTGTAACTATTCAAAATATTACATGAGGTGAAGAGTCTTTGGATGCGCTCTGTACTTTTATCATAAACGTCTTGTTAAAGCAAATGTGAGAGAGTGGCTAAAACGAAAAGGCTAATTTAGGATGTTAAAGCCTCGAAAAAATTGGTAAAACAACCTAGTTATTCGAATTAAAAAGTTAGTAATAAAATATAAAAATCGATAATCGATTACAGCTCAGTAAAACGGTGACTCAGAAATTTCTGAAAATAGTTCAATATTAAAAAGATGAGTTTTTGATTCAACCCTTCATTAATACCTTAATTGTTAAATATAAATAAAACAAATTTAATACCAATTTTACCATTTTCGAGATATTTGACGGTTTCATTGTTTTGGCGCACGCTGTATGAGAATGAAATGTATGTTACGATTTTTAAAAATAAACAAAAAACTATTTATGTAGTTAACGACATTCCATATAAATTTTTTCAATTGAATTTTAGGAGATTGTTTATAAGAAAAATTAAAAGCAGCGATTTTTCTACGGCATTTGGAACTCTAATTCATAAAATATTTGAAATTGTAACACAAACGTTATAATATGTATAATAACTGATAATAATTCAATATTTGGTAGGTCGAAAACATGGATTTGTGCATTCGGTTCGTCACAAGTAGCTTATCAAAAATGTGAGCTGTGCTACTCTCTAAAATGTTTAGAAAAATATAGACAGAAATAGATTTTTTGTAATTACTCATTTCCTATCGATCTTACGGTAAAAATTAAAGTTTACACAATTGAAGGCAATTCAGTTCTCTACCAAAAAAAGTATTTTAAGAAACTCTATTGATTGAAAAAATCGAATTATTGCTGGAAACTCCAGTAGGTACCTAATTTGCATATTTAGGGAGTAACACATCTGTGAAACAATCACATTTTTGTTATTTTTGACCACGAAACGAAATTGTTAAAACAAAAAAATCACAGTGTTTTTACCGAAAAATTACTACAAATTAAAAAGCGACAATTAGCGATAAACCTTATGAATAACAAATTAAAATGACGACATTATGTATTATACAGTTGATAAATGTCCCAAAATTTTACTACTAGTTCTAAGGAAAAGTGATGCAAATATTCTGTAAAATTCAGTGCCGATTGCCGAGGTATTGCTGCCAAAATTAAAATAGTTGTTAGTTCAGGAATGAACTGTAAATGGAGCTGTGATTTTTTAGTATGAAGATAATGAAAGATTTTTCTAATTTTTCATGAATATTTTTTAATTAAGAAGTAAGTACCTACCTAAAATTATGTGTAACTCAGATGTTTACAGTTATTTTGTGGATATATCTTTTACCGTTTTTTATCATCTATGGTTAATTTTTAAGGTTTTTTTTCTATTGTAATAATTTCTTTCTGTATGTTTAAACATATCTAATAAACAGACTGATGAAAATGTAGTGTTTTAGTTGACCTTTTTCTTACAAATAGGTATATCCAGAAACAAAAATGACAAAGGAGAAAATCCAACTTCAAATACAGAAGAAGTACTAAATGAAATGATGAAAGGACAAAAAAGAGAAAATAATGTAATAGTATATAATATTAAAGGATCAAATGCAATAAGTAAAGACGAAAGAATAACGGAAGAGAAAAATACAGTAAAAAACCTTGCTGATGTAAATCTATACTAGGAAAATTCCAAAATTGAAGAAATAGACCAACAAAAATTATTTTTAATTCTAAAGATGAAGCTCCTCCCCCTGTCATAAAAACCCTGTCATGTGATACATCAATAGACGCATCTCGTTAAGTCGAATATTTTTTCTTCCGTTCTTTTTGCTGTCTTCTTTTAAGCAATGTTTTTCCCGCAAAAGCGTTCAACCCAAAATTTACCCTAATTTCCCTGAGAAATGTGTTTGAGAGAGCCGAAAAATTTTGATGTCAGATTTTGAAGAACATCGAGTAGTATACTGGAATTTTTAGTTCTTTCGGAAAACTTATCGGTAAATTCGGAATTTTTTTTCGATATTCTCAATTCGAAAAGAAATTTCCCGAATCAGGTAAATCCGCAGTCCAAAAAAGTTGGTCTAGCCGGAAAATTGATCGATTATCATTTTCTCGAAAAAACTTAAAATTTTCCGACTTAATTCGACAGAGAAAAGTTCAATATTTTCATATTAGTGAAATTCGTAACAGACAGACGGACAAAACGTATTTAGATTTTTTATAACTACTAGTAATAGTAAGTCATAACTAAACAAAAACAAACTAGCGTGTGAGAAGTGCAAATGCGAAACAACGTTGGGGATTCCCCTCATTTATCAAATAGAACGCCAGTGCTACCAGGGGGTCGATTCTCGACTTCTATTCCCTTGGGGAAATAAAATTTTCCCATGGGAATTCAGTTTTTGTATTCTCGACATAAGCGGTGGAATATTTTCCAATGAGAAGTATGTGAAAATATTCCCCTGCTTATGAGCATTGGAAATTGTGTTTTCCAATGGGAATTAGACTAGAGTTTGCGCATTAAAGTCGAAAATTTGGCGAAAGACTATACGACATAACCAAAGATTATTGGATATCTTGGATTTTTGGTGAAATAGTAGTTAAAACATTTTTTTGGCGTATTTATATATTGATATTATTTTATTTATGTAGGTAGGTATATTATTTTTACTTCTCTTTCACTAAGAAACTGTATGAAATGATTTTCTTAAATCAGTTAGAAATTTTGGGAGCTGCTAAGGGACTGGCAAATAACACAAATTGAGAAATTTGTAGTAAATTTAATAAGACCTTTTCAAAAATTTTATTATTTCCGTTAACGAAAGAATTTCTTAGTTTCTCGAAACTTTCATTGCTCTTCCATACAAAAGCTACTTTTTCTTTTTTCAACACGTGAAAAGAAAAACTAAGAATAACTCGACAAGTTTTAATTATACATAATCGAATATTTTCACTTGTTCCTCGGCCATGCTAGCGATTGCTCCGCACGGCCATGCACCTGCTCCACCACGGAGGCTCCGCAGGTAATCGATTACCCAAAAACCACAACAAATACAAATAATGCCAACAGTAAATTTTAAAATATCTCTAATATTATTGGTTGTTTCGAAATATTCGTGGACTTAATGATTTAACGGCATTTAAAAATATTGGCGGCCTTTAAAAACATTTTCGTATTCGATAATTTACTTCTGTGATTATTTAACAGATTTCTTTAAGATAGTCCTCTAATTTATTTTAAAGATCCGTTTAAATAATGACAGAAGTAAAGAAGAAAATATTCTTAAAGGCCGTTAAATATAAAGGAATTGTTACAGAATAGACCCCAATATCAGACATACGTGAAACTACTATTTCCATGGGAATGTCTATTCCGACAAATTCGAGAATTGCATAACCTGTTACCATGGGAATATAAGCAGTGGAATCTTTTCCCATGGAAAAATTTTCCAATGAACTCGAGAATCGAGCCCCAGGAGCTGTATTCTGCAACTGGGGAAATGTGTGTGAGTACTCTCACGATTTGGCCTTGCTGCACATGTCACTTGACTAAAATTATAAGGAATCATGTCAACAGCGAGAGCAGTGTTGCAAGACGCATGATAATTATCACATTTGTACGATATACTGAAAAAGTTGAAGATTTCCAATTTTTCGTAATTTTTATTTTCCGACTTACGAACTAGATTGAATTTCTGTTGCATATCAGGTTTTTGTAATATATTTTTACATACGTACAAAATTAATAATATTTTTAATCACAGAGTAATTCACAAATAATGTATGACGCTAGTTTTGTGTAAAATCTCACTAATTCTACTGTGACGTCAGGGAAGCATATTTTCAAAAAGTACTACTCAATATGGTATTTTGTCGAACAAATATTGCACAATACCAAAGACAATTGTCTGCACAATACACATTTCTTATACAGGGTCTTTTATAGTGAGAACCACAAAATAAAATATTTTTTACGCATTACCTCAAAACCCTGTACTTATGATTTTTGGGAAAATGAATATCACTAAAATATGCGTACTTCTAAGCTTCAAAATATACAAGGTGGCTTATATTTGTTGGAAAATATTTTATTTTAATAAAAGTACAAAAACGCCACGAACACCTTGTATTCTAAAATTTCCCAAGTGAAATGTAACTATTTTCTCAGTATATGATAATTTTAACATAACATAATTTTAAATCCGATACTATGACCAGTTTTCGAGATACAGGGCGTTAAAGTGGAGAATTGCTGATTTTAGTTAGTTTTTCTTCCAACTGAAAAGCTAGATTGTCTTTATTTACAATATATAAGTTTTGTTAAGATCTCCATTCCGTTTAAAATATTTGTTACAGGGTGATTCACGAATAGGTCATAATATATTTTTGCAAAACTCAATATCCCTACAGTTGCACCACAGAGAAATTATTTCATTGAGTTAATATCTACCCGTTCACAATTTTGAGGTCAAAATATTGTTACGCTTCTATTATATTCTAATTAGGTATTTAAATAACATCCTGTACATGAAAGATTATTTAATTATGTCGTGAACTTTTTTTAAGTTGCAATCATGTACAAGGCTGATTATTCAATAATTATTAAATATAAATAAAATAATACTAAAATCAAAAAACAACTATAAAGGGGAATTGAGGTTACACACGGTATTCTCCGCGTGGCTAGGCCGCTTCTTGGTCTCGAGGGCTTAAAGCCTTTTTTTGTATTTTTGAATCGCGGCATTGATCAAAGGTTGTTATGTGTACCACCTAATAAGACGGACAGGGCAACCTACGCCCACCTCCAAGAGGCTCTGAGAGAGATGGAGGCCGAAACACCAAACAATAATACTGCTTTGGAAAAGTACACGAACACTATCCAAAGCACAATAAACAATGCTTATAAGAAATCATGTCCCCTGAGGCTGGTCCAACACGATCAGACGACTACCGCATGGTGGTGTCACGAGTTGGATCATCTCAGGAAGATGGCTAGGAAATCCTTTAATAAAGCAAGAACCACAAAACTCGAAGAGGACTGGGATACTTACAAATCTCACCTCAGAGAATACAAAAAAATCGTCAGACAAAAACAGAGAGATGCATAAAGATCCCACTGCGAAGAAATCGAAGATTTCCCGCAGGCAGTGAGGCTTCAAAAAGCTCTCTCAAAAGATCCACACCGAAGCATTGGTGCGCTTATCAAAGAGGATGGCACGAAAACTGCCAACCTCGAAGCTAGCATCAAACTTCTGCTGTCAACACACTTCCCTGACTAGGTCATAACAGACGTGGCGGACTGGGCAGAGGAAGAATACAATCCATCTGTCTATGATTGGCAAACTGCCAAACACATTGTAGACGATGAAAAAATTAGATGGGCAATATCCAGCTTCTCTCCATTTAAATCGCCAGGACCTGACGGTATCTATCCAGCCCTACTTTAGTGGGGTCTAGAAGAACTCACACCGCACCTGGTGGGTATATTCAGATCCTCGTTGGCTCTGAGGTATATCCCCCAAAAATGGAGAGAGGTAAAAGTGGTATTTATACCCAAACCTGGAAGGATGGATTACACTGTTCCAAAAACATACCGACCAATTAGTCTGACATCGTTTTGCATGAAGACATTGGAAAGGCTATGCGAAAATTACATAAGGGATGCGGTGATTAAAACAACACCACTTCACCCAAACCAACATGCATACACCCCAGGCAGATCTACTGATTTAGCCCTTTATCTAGTTGCTGCCGGATAGAAAGATCCTTGGACAATAAGGAGTCCGCCTTGGGTGTTTTCATAGACATAGAAGGTACTTTTGATAAAACCACCTTCTCAAAGATAATACACTCACTAACCAATAGGAATGTTCCCCAAATGGTTGGTGGGTGGATACATAACATGCTCTCAAAGCGAGCAGTAAACATAAGTGTAGAAGATGTGAATATAAGAGGCTTGGTTGCGAGGGGATGTCCGCAGGGAGGGGTGCTATCACCTCTACTGTGGAATATGGTCCTGGACACCCTCATCAGCCGCCTCAATAATGACAGTCACTAAACAATAGCATATGCAGATGACCTGGTCATTCTGCAAACAGGGAATTTTGAGAACATACTCTGCGAAAGAATGCAAGTAGCTCTAAAAATTATGGAACAGTGGTGCAAGGACCATTCACTGTATCAATCCTAAGAAGACAGAAATGGTCCTTTTCACAAGGAAATGGATGAAAATAGAAATACAACCTCCAGAACTGCTAAACACAAAACTAAACTGTGCAACAAAGGTGAAGTACCTAGGTCTCACTTTTGACAGCAAGTTAAGATGGAACTCGCATTTAGAAAACAGA